GCATTCATCACAGGCTGCAAGGAACAGCAGCCTGACTAAATACTTTCAATATACAGCTTCCAGAATAAAATCAGTTGCTGAGCCACATGAGCAGCCCAGGAATAATTTATTTTTTAACGGAGGTTTCTTGATGCGGTTTTCTTTCCTTACATATGAGTAACGCACAGAGATGGCACTTACAGCAACTGCCCCACACAGAGGGCTGCCATTTTCCCAACAAACGTCACCTGAAGGATAAGTAAGGGGAAGCTGGAGGGATCGTCCCACACCCCTGGCTGAAATCCAGCACTGCCAGAGTTTTTCACCCAGGCTGCTGCCCACTTCCCAGCACAGAGCCCCACTGGGATGCTTTCACAAGGCTGTGGTTTGAAATCCTCAGAAACTCAAGTTGTAGAAATGCAGAGATAAGAGACTGAAACCATTAAGCAGGTTTGTTATTGGATTTGCCGATTAAAAGCAGGGAGCTTGTAGGCAGCATCCACAGCAGTGCAACAGCAGAGCAATGGTGCCCCTGGGCTTGGGATTCCCTGGTACCCGCCTACCCACAGCAGGAATTTGCCCAGCAAACCCTAACCATGATTTTCTTTCAGAAGAGAAAAGGGTATTTAGCTATTTGACTAACTCGAATCATGATGCATACCCCCTATCAGCAGTTGTTAGTGTTCCTCTCCCTCAAACCCAGCGCTGCCTCATGGTGTTTTCAGTCCTCACTCAGTGTGGGGTCTGCACTGGCAAGGGCTGTGACCACGACCATTGCTTTGGGGCCAAAAACTCCACCAAATGTGCCTGCTAATGCTGATGGAGCCAGACTTCACAGCCGGTTAGGGAGGCAGAAGGAACTTGCAAGCACAGATCAGTAACTCTGGATTTCCAGCTGCAAGTTTCCAAGACCTCCCTCAACTCTGTAATGACCTGATATTGATTTCCAGTCCTTTGAAAATATGAAGGATGCCAACCCCATTTGCAGCGATTATGAGGTCTCTAATTTCATTCCAGGTCATGGTATTTGTATTTTCATTACCCTCAACCTCCAGGGTCATCACAAATACGAGATTACAGTGTCGGTGCTTAACGGCTGTTTAATTCAACAGCAATTCAGAGTTAATAAATGCAATTCAATTTCTCAAAGCCTTCCTGACCGGATAACGCAGCCAGCACCCAGCCTACCAAACCCATATGCCATTAGTTTCTATAGGAATTGAGTTGGCATGCATGGGAGCAGTAGATGAAATTACACGGTGGAAGTAATTTATTTTTCACTATTCACATGTATAGGAAGCCTCAAGTCCTCTCCATCTCAGAGATGCTCTGAAAGGGAGGAGGAACGTTTTACTTTATTGTCAGGGATTTATAACATGACATGCTCTAAATATTTAGGAGGATTTTCCCTGAGATGTGGTAGCCTTCAATTAGTCTTTAAAGTGAGACTGTTTTAAAGTGAGGGACGACATCATTAATCCTAATGCACCGCAGAATTTTGTGGTAGCAGTTCAGCTGCCTGTCTGGCAAAGCTGCTCCTGCAGACAGGCAGAGGTTTCCCTTTCTTGTTACTTTTAGTGTTAATCTTTCCTTACTACTATTATTTTTGAGTCCAGGGAATTCAAGTGCCTGCAAAGCACTGATTAATGGTATCAAGGTGTGAGGTATAATGGTTTAGGGGTGGTTACAGAGCAAAGGCTATATACCAGCGCCCAGGCACGTACAGAAAACCCAAGGCATTGCCTCTCACTGCTGCCTCCTTTCCCGGAGGCATCTTGAACCAAAGCCCAGGGATCAAAGTTGTGATGTTTATAAGTAAAGAGTATTTAAACCACTCCAAAGTCGTCCAAAGGTTTTAAGTTGCTACCTTTGCCCCTAACTTCAGAGGCCCCAGCAGCTGAACAGAGGACACAAGAGTACTTGTAATTTTGTATTTTCCAGGAGACATCATAAATAGTGCCAGTAACCGTTTTGTTTTTTCAGAAAGCACCATTTTCTGTAGAGTATGCAAATGCAGTGCTGCACAGCATAGACAGAAGATTCAGGGAATCAACATGATATTAATGTTTTACTGGCCTTATTTGCCAATTATCTCTTATCTCTTTCAATACTACAGCTATCTAAACCCAAAAGAAATCAAAGCAACATAGCACAGCACTGCGTGCCAGCAGAAACGGGAACAGGAAGCGACAGCAAACACCGGTGTAGGGGATGTCCATCCCCACAGGATCTCCCTCCACCAGCTAGCACATTTGTGAGCGGCACCGAGCATCACCCAGCCCATGCCATGCCAGCCAGCATCCCCGGGCACACACGCAGATGCTACCGGCACGTCCCTGCACCGTGCTCCAGCAAGCAGCACAGCAGAAGAGCTATCGGTGCAGACCCAGCTCTCTGCAAACCTGCATGGGGTTTAGCAGAAATAACAGGGTTTTCCTGTTCACTCTCAGCTGCACAACCTGGACCTGGCTTCCAAGCCTCACCCCGCTTCATCCATCATCACCAGCAATAACGAGTCTCCTTGTGAAATCCAGCCCTCAGGTAACCCGTTAAACAGCGAAATAAGGCTGCAGAGCAGAGTGTGGTGCTAATCATCACCGCTCCCACTAACAATGAGCAAGAGCATGGCTCATTCCCTCCTCTCTGAGCAGCCTCTGCAGGGAACTGCAGCCAAAAACCAGAAAAAAAAGTCTAATTTTACCTCTAATGGAAGTGGTTACCTTGGGATAGAGCTGGACCTCAGGCCTGCTGAATGAGACCAGGGTTATTTTTAGGCAGTTGACACCCTATCACTGCTTTTTAAGGACTCTGCAGGCAGTTACAAAGTTACTTAAGGCTTGAGCTTTAAGAGAAAAGAGTTCTTGCATAGGAGGAAAGCTCAGCTGATCCCACCAGGATCTGAACCCTGTCTTTGGTACAGACAGGGGGTTACAGTGGCAGGGAGATGGTCTCCTCCTCTCGTGGCGTGGACTGCATACAAATTGGGGAATCAAGAGCTCTGAGCTGCCAGAGGAATGCTCTCCCGTCGGGCAGCGTGGCTCTCCCAGCCTCAGGCCAGGGGCTCAATCCCCACCCCCAGGAAGGCCTGCAGAGGCTCGGGACACAAGGCAGGGAGGATGCTCCCAACCGGCGGCAGAAGTTGCTGCACTCGATGCAGAAACAACCAGCTCAACGGCAGCACAACAAAATAGTATCAGCCTTAACCTTGCTCCCCCTGTTTTATTCTGGGGGGTCTCTTCCGCGCATCTCAGATGGTATCTATTTCTTCCGAAACAGAAAGACAGCCTCCCCAGACCACTTCTGCATCCTGCTGTGGGCTGCAGCGGCAGACCACAGGTAAACACAGCGAGAAGGAGCTGGGGCAGAACCAGGCTTGGCAAAGGCCCCTCAGCTCAGGGTGAGCTGCCTACAGAGCCAGACACATCTCCACAAATACAGCATCATAAGCCACTGCCTAACACTCACCGTTCAAAAAGCTCTCAATTTGCAAGGGAAGGTGCTTTAGCAATGAAGGCAGCTGTCCGAGAGCACATCCCAAAGCAGCGGCAGGGCTCACGAGCTGGCAGTAAAACCGCCAACACACAGCTGTAAAACTTGTCCTCCTTACATGCTGCCTTTGCAGAGGCTGCAGCGGTGCATGGTACAATCTACAGGAACAGAGACGATGCTCCCCACCCGACCGTTAAGACCTAGTGTTGAGTAGAGGCATCCAGGTTTGTCTGCCACCTCAGCGCTCGTATTAGCAAGATCCTGGTACATCTATTAGCAGAGTTTTTCTCCCGCCTTTAATCTTTCCCTTTTTTTTAAAAAAAATATTTTCATTTTAAACCACCTGCTTCCTTAGAAGCATCATCAACCTTAGAATTCGTGATTCCACCATGACTTCCAGGCTCTCTCAGCTGTCACTTGCCATTTCCCTGCAGCCCTATAAAGCAGAAAGAAACAAACTGGGGGTTTGGGGTTTGTTGATTTTTTTTTTTTAAATAGTGCAGAACGCGCTCAAAAAAAAAAAAATCGGAGGAGGAGGATGCGGCAAAACAAATGCATCCACCACTTGACACCACGATTAGCTGTCATCTGTTAAGTGGCTTGCACAGAGGCTGACGTCCTGCTGCAACCGAGCCTACTGGGGATGGAAAAGAGCAGCCTGGAGTATCACCAGCTCCTGCTCTCTTCACTTTCCAAAGTTACAGCGCTCAAACAACGAGAAGGAAGGGGCGCTAAGAGGGGAAAGGGTCTGGGAACACAGAGCAGAGACAAATCCTAACTAAGCAGGAATTAGCACTCACTGGCAGCAAAATCAGCCACAGGTTTCTGTGTGGGACTGCTGCCTCCTCAGCCAGGGACCCGGAGCCTCTCCCTGCTACTGAACACGGAGAATGTGATCCATGGCACAGCCTCGCCCCCCCGTCAATAAACGCCAGCTAAAGAGTAGTAGTTAATTATGTAGCACAGATAAGACTGTTACATGCAGCACAGCTCAAGACATTATTCACCAGGGTTCACGGGAGAAGGAAGGGGAGAAAGGAGAAATCCACAGTTCCTCAAAGAGCACTTTGATTTCATGGAAGATCAGAGTTGGGACGAGGGTACACAGTTTCCCTCTTCAGTAACCTTAAATAATCACACTTCGTCTTATAGCAAGCACCAATATGTGATCCTTCTGAGCTTTCTGCTGCGGACACACAGGTTACAAGCACAGCGCAAGTCTCTCTACCTGTTGCATCTGACATGCTAGGGACATCAAAGAAACCAGGGCACACTGCACCCCGTAAAAATGATCAGGGAACGCAGGAACTTCCAACCCGATTTCCAAGTCAATCATCGACTAAACTCAGAACATCCGACCTCTGCTTAGAAATGCTTGCTTGAACGAGCACTTCTGGCTGCGTCCTCTCCCTGTGGCTCAGAAATATGAAAATAGACTTGTAAAGCAGTCTCTTCGTAATTAATTTCTACTTTTGAAACAAATGGCAGAGGACGTCTCCCGGCGCGAGCATGCTTCAGTAAATCTCACCTACCAAATAGGAAATCCCACACAAAACAGGCTGTGTCCGACACACCGGCATCTGAGATATTCGGAGGCCAGGTTAGCTGTTGTGCTGTGTCCCAGCGCTCTGGAATGATTTCCTTCTTTTAATTTCCACCTGCTTTCTGTGTCGCCAGCAAAGCCCGGCTGGTGTCTCCGCACATTTTCGGGAAGCGCCGGTCCAGCGGGCGCCGGCAGAGCCGGGGAGAGGGCGGCCGGTGCCGCTCGCCCGCTCGGCGGTCAGAGGCGGCGGCAGCCCCCGGCGCTCCCCCGGCCCCCTTCGGG